AATTGCGCCAGCTCCATGTGTATTTCATCGTACATCTGCTCGTCAGACCTCGCTGTCAGAGGTGCGTTTGTGCGTGTTTGCCGCTCTCCAAAGTGGAAATCATCGCTGACCTGGATCCGCACAAATTGACAATTTTCCGGCGGGAAAGCACTAGGTTCCGATGCGATCCCAGCGGCAATCTACAGGCACGGAGGCCGCCGACCGGTGGGTCTCCTCACGACAATATTTCAGGAAATGCTGCGACAAGGACAGGTTTCCTCAGGAGTTTGAAGATGCCACAACCGTCCATCTCTACAAGTGCAAAGGGGATCGATAACCCTGTGATAACCGCAGAGGAATCTCGTCGCTCAGCAACGCTGGAAAGGTCTTCTCTCGCATCCTCCTAAACAGCCTTAGTGACCACCCCGAACAAGGATTTTTCCCAAAAAGCCAGCATGGATTTTGACGCCATCGCTGAGCCCCCGACGCTACCTTTGCCGCCCACCAGCCACAAGAGAAGTGTCAGGAGATGCAAACACATCTCTGCACCACCTTTGTGAATCTGGACGCAGCCTTCGACACAACGAATCACGATGGAACATGGAAAATCATGCAGCAGTTCGCTTGTCCTAAACAATATACGCACATCAAATAGAATAGGTTTATTATAGCGCCCCTTGGGCACTGTCAGTCAGCCGCACTGTGTCAGCTCCACGATGGGATCATGGCGAGCGTCAAGGACGACGAGTCCGCCTCCGAAGCGTTCGCAGTGGCTAGTGGAGTGAGGCAGAACTGTGTTCACGCTTCCATCCACTTCAGTCTCATGCCCTATGCTATGCTGCTAAATATATAGCGGTAGCCTAAGCCATAGGGAAACCCTTAGTACCACGACCGGCCGGTCCAGTTCGGACAGGAAGAGAAGAAGTGGGACGCCAGCTGGAAGGATGCTGTATTCCAGGCAGGACAATTGGAGGAAAGGTTGGTAGGAATTGGCAGTCGGATGAGGGCACGTCAGACGCCGCGAGACGTGCGTCCGCCAGTGCGGGACAGTGGGGCAGTCGGCCAGCCCCCTCAAAGAGGTCATGTACGAGCCAGCCCCGAAGACGATTGGTCAATTTGGAATGCCGCACTGGCTAAGATTCCGACTGCAATTGGTGCTCATGTGCATGTAGTCGTGAGAAGTTCGGCCTTGCAACATGCACCCAGAGTTTAATCGCTACAGACACATACCGTGACAAATACCCTCAGAAAAGCATCGTCCCAGGACTGACAAACATCTTCTCAATAGCCGACGCATGCAGGCCCAAACGGGTGTTTATAAGTCTACAGCCCGGGGTGTAGGGGTGTCAGCGGTGGGTTCACGTGAAGGTCGTAGTGGTCGCTCACTTGCTTGCAGGTGAGACTACGCCTAGCGTCCACTTGCTGGCACTCAACTCTCACCTGTGGCTCCACGTAGCTGGGCTCTGCTCAGCGGCCACACCCCGGGCAACCGTCTCGACCGGCGGGCTAAACCAGGTGAGGGCGGTTACTCCCTGTGCGCGTTGTGCCGCGTGCACAGGTGACTGCGGACTCCGTGGACGGTTGGTCGGATGGAACACCGCGTCGGCGCCGTCGTGACGAGGCTCTGTCTGACACACCGCTGGTCAGCCGGTTGGTGGTGGAACGTCGCATCGACATCGTCTAGACGAGGCTCCGCCTGGTACGCCGTTGATCAGCCGGTGGGATGGATCTCCGAATTGGCACCGTCGACACGCGCCCATCTGGTGCACCGTAGGAGACCGCAGGCTTGCGGCAATGCCGTAAGCCATTGGCAAATTCGAGTCGTTCTTCCACTGCCAAAAAAACTCGTGGCCCACAGTGGAGTTCGGCCGCGCCCGCACATCAAGCAGCCCCTATTCAGGGGTCAGGGCACTGCTTCCTTCGGGGGGGGGGGCCTGGAAAAGCTGACCTAAAAATTGCTGGGGAACCACGTCGTCTGCTGGCGCACCGTGGTCGCAGACGTAAAACTCACGGTCGAAACAATCAAACTCGAAACAACAACAACAACAACAACAACAACCATACTCATTCTCCTCATCCTACCTCTTCTACCTCTACCTCCGTCTATTCTTCTGCCTATTCTTCTCCTTCGTCATCTTCTTCTCCACCTCCTTCCCATCGCCCCACTCGTTTTCCCCAGACTGACAGTGAGCCCGCTCACTCTGGCAGCCTGGAATGTTCGTTCCCTTTTAGACAATCCGAGGAGCAACCGACCGGAGCGGAGGACGGCGCTAGTGGCACGAGAACTGGCGCGCTACAAGGTGGACATCGCCGCACTCAGGGAGACCCGTTTCTCCGAACAAGGCCAACTGGAGGAGGTGGGTGCCGGCTACACCTTCTTCTGGAGCGGTCGACCCAGGACAGAGCGACGGGACGCGGGCGTCGCCTTCGCCATTCGGAACGACATCGTGGGACGACTGCCCTGTTTGCCGCAGGGCATCAACGATCGCCTGATGAGCCTCCGCCAGCCTCTCTGGGGAGGAAAATTCGCCACCATCATCAGCGCCTACGCTCCGACGATGACCAACCCCGACGCCGTCAGAGACAAATTCTACGAGGACCTGCACGCCCTCTTGGCGACTGTGTCGAAGGCGGACAAGTTGATTGTCCTTGGTGACTTCAACGCCCGCGTCGGCACAGACCATACTGCCTGGAGGGGAGTGCTGGGTCCCCACGGTCTCCGCGGCTCCAACGACAACGGCCTGCTTCTCCTCCGCACCTGCGCAGAACACCGCCTCACCCTGACGAATACCTTCTTCTGTCTGCCGGTGCGAGAGAAGTCCACCTGGAGGCATCCTCGGTCGCGTCAGTGGCACCTGCTGGACTATGTCCTCGTCCGGAGGCGAGATCAGCGGGACGTGCTGGTGACGAAGGCGATCGCGGTTGCTGACGGGTGGACCGACCATCGCCTCGTCATCTCGAAGATGCGTATTCGCCTACAGCCTCGCAGGAGACCACAAGGTAAGCGACCCCCAGGTAAGCTGAATGTTGCTTTGTTGTCTTTGCCTGCTCACCGTCTCCATTTCAGCAATGAGCTAGCTCAACGGCTAGACAACCTTCCTATCGCTGCCGCCGCCGACGACGCCGCCGCCGCTGTCGAGACCGGCTCCGTGGAGAACCGCTGGTGTCAACTGCGTGACACAGTCCAGTCGACGGCGCTCGCCGTCCTCGGTCGCGCTCCCCGCCAACACCAGGACTGGTTCGACGACAACGACGCCGCCATCAGAAATCTGCTTGCCGAGAAGAACCGCCTACACAAAGCCTACGTAGAGCACCCAACTGAGAGCAACAAAGCTGCCTTCTACCGCAGTCGCCGACAGCTTCAGCAACGACTGCGCGAGATGCAGGACGCCTGGACTGCTCGCAAAGCTAAGGAGATCCAAGGCTATGCGGACCGCAACGAATGGAAGAACTTCTTCTCCGCGATCAAAGCTGTCTACGGTCCGGCGAAGAAGGGCACTGCTCCTCTGCTCAGCGCCGACGGCAGCACTCTCCTGACTGAGAAGACGCAAATCCTGCAGCGATGGGCCGAGCACTTCCGAGGCGTCCTCAACCGCCCTTCCGTCATCTCCGAAGCCGCCATCGCCCGCTTGCCGCAAGTGGCGACCAACGCGGACCTCGACCTCCCGCCATCTCTCCAGGAAACAATCAGAGCCGTGCAGCAGCTCTCCAGCGGAAAAGCACCCGGATCGGACGCAATCCCTGCTGAGGTCTACAAGCACGGAGGTCCCCTACTGATGGATCACCTGACTGCGCTCTTCCAGGAGATGTGGCGTCAAGGTGAAGTCCCGCAAGATTTCAAGGACGCAACTATCGTGCACCTATACAAGCGCAAAGGGAATCGCCAAGTCTGCGACAACCACCGCGGCATCTCCCTACTGAACATCGCCGGGAAGATCTTCGCTCGCATCCTGCTCAACCGCCTCAACAACCATCTGGAACAGGGCCTTCTGCCGGAAAGCCAATGCGGCATCCGTCGTCATCGTGGGACCACGGATATGATCTTCGCCGCCCGCCAACTTCAGGAGAAGTGCCAGGAGATGCGGACCCACCTGTACTCTACCTTCGTGGACCTGACGAAAGCCTTCGACACAGTGAATCGTGAAGGACTGTGGAAGATCATGCAGAAATTCGGCTGTCCGGAGCGATTCACTCAGATGGTGCGTCAGCTGCACGACGGTATGATGGCGCGAGTCACGGACAACGGAGCTGTCTCAGAGGCATTCGCAGTGACCAACGGAGTGAAGCAGGGCTGTGTGCTGGCGCCTACCCTCTTCAGTCTCATGTTCTCTGCCATGCTGATGGACGCCTACCGCGACGAACGCCCTGGAATCCGCATCGCCTATAGAACGGACGGTCATCTCCTGAATCGCCGGCGCATGAACTTCCAATCGCGTGTATCCACAGCCACCGTGCACGAACTCCTCTTCGCCGACGACTGCGCCCAGAACACCACCTCAGAAGTGGAGATGCAACGGAGCATGGACCTATTCTCCGCCGCCAGCGAGAACTTTGGGCTGGTTATCAACACGCCGAAGACGGTGGTGATGCATCGGCCGCCTCCCAGCTCTGCCACTGCCCCCAACGCGCCGCAAATCAACGTGAATGGGACTCAACTGCAAGTGGTAGAGAACTTCCCGTACCTGGGCAGCACGCTCTCCCGCAACACCAAGATCGACGACGAAGTCGCCAACAGGATCTCGAAAGCCAGTCAAGCCTTCGGTCGCCTCCAAAGCACAGTTTGGAATCGTCATGGTCTCCAACTGAGCACAAAGCTGAAGATGTACAAGGCCGTCATCCTGCCGACGCTACTGTACGGAGCGGAGACCTGGACGGTGTACACGAGGCAGGCACGTCGACTAAACCACTTCCACCTCAGCTGTCTCCGCCGCATCCTGAGGCTAAACTGGCAGGACCGCATTCCCGACACCGAAGTGCTATAACGGACGGGAATTCTGAGCATCTACTCCATGTTGAGACAAATGCAGCTGCGCTGGAGCGGCCATCTGGTGCGCATGGACGACGAACGACTACCCAAACGACTCTTCTACGGAGACGTCGCGACGGGTTCTCGTCGTCAAGGAGGCCAAATTCGCCGTTACAAAGATACTCTGAAGTCCTCCCTGAAGCGCCTGCACATCAACCCGACCAACTGGGAAGAGCTCGCCCGCGATCGTCCGACATGGAGGAGAACAGTGAAGACGGGCGCTGCTATCTACGAAGCCAACCGCATCGCCGCCGCCAAAGTGAAACGCGAAGTCCGCAAATCACAACTTCGCCCAATACGCAACGCGCCGCACAACCTCTCCCTACGTGTCCTCGATGTCAACGGGCATTCCGGGCACGAATCGGACTTGTTGGACATCTTCGAACCAACTGCACCTCTCGAACTGCTCCAGCCATCGTCCCCGCGCCCGCCTCTTCCTCGTCCTCTCTTCCGCCAACTAACTCTGACACTCCTTCTGCACCACCACTTCCATCCTCCTCCTTCTCCTCCACTGCCCCAGCGGTGGCCGTTCAGGCTGCCGTCTCACACATCGCCAACCACGACACAGCAACCGCAACCACCCCCACCTGCCCTCACTGCGACCGCACCTTCACCTCACACAACGGCCTGGTCGGTCACTTGCGAATCCATCGCACAGAGACTGGTGAACCAGTGCCTGGAGCACCAACCTACACCCATCGCACTCGCCTCCACTGCCCACAATGCCCTCGCACCTTCCGGCATCGCATGGGCCTATTCGACCACATGCGCATCCACGAGAGCGGAATTGACCGCAGCCTTGACACACCCACCCCGCCGAGCCCCACTCCCAATCCATCACCTTGTGTACCCACTAACCACTCCCCAGCCGACATCGACGCCACTGACCTTACCACCCCTCACTCCCCCGCTTCCTCCTCCACCTCCTCCTTCACTGCCACAGCGACGGCCACTCCGGCGTCTGCAGCGCACGACTTCACCACAGCCGCACCTGACACAACAACAGGCACAACCCCTGCAACCTCCATCAACAGATGTGAGGGCCCGGACTACATCTGCCCTCACTGCGATCGCACCTTCACTTCACGCATCGGCCTGGTCGGTCACTTGGGAATCCATCGCACAGAGTCTGGCGAACCAGCGCCTGGAGCACCAACCTACACTCACCGCACTCGCCTCCACTGCCCACACTGCCCTCGCACCTTCACGCATCGCATGGGTCTATTCGGCCACATGCGCATCCACGAGAGCGGCATTGACCGCAATTCCGATACAGCCACGACATCCAACACGCCCAGACCCATCCTCGCCCCACCGTCACACGCGCCGACCACCACCACCGCCACCACCAACACCACGCTTCCTCTACAGCTGACACCGACACCGCCGACCTCTCATGCCCTCATTGTCCACGCACCTTCACCTCACGCATCGGCCTGGTCGGTCACTTGCGAATCCATCACACAGAGACTGGCGAACCAGTGCCTGGAGCACCAACCTACACCCACCGCACTCGCCTCCACTGCCCACACTGCCCTCGCACCTTCACGCATCGCATGGGTCTATTCGGCCGCATGCGCATCCACAACGACCTGCGGTAGACAACCGCCGGTCACACCACACATTCCCTCACTCCCTACCTCCTAACATCATCACCCCACTAGACGTCAACCCTCACACACCTCATGCACTCAACTGCCGCCTCCCACGCAAGTGGGAAGTGTGCATCTCGACTCGGTCCCCATGCGGCCTCGGCTGCACGAGTGACTTGAGTCCGAGACTATCCCGATACGTCAAGGGTCTGGATAGGAAGGTTGCTGATTGACGCCCGTTCTCGGTTCACGCGGTTCGTCACGTTGTGTGTGTGTGTTGTGTAGTGGCGGACTGGTGGGCTGGGGACGGGCTGAAGCAGCACCTTCCACGGCCCTCTCACGCATGTGAGAGACACGCCGTTCAACCCCCGTTGTGTGAAATCCTGGTGTTTGTGTGTATGGGGGGCCAGGTCGTGCTGTGGCGCGCGCAGGCATGGTCAGTCGACCATGTCAGCCACCGCGCCCATTCCCCACTCCAGTTTGCCGACCGGCTCGGACGGCGACTGGGGTGTGAGAATGGGGAGGGAGAGTGAGGTCGACGACTCAGCGCACTTTCTCCTCTCTATAAACAATCTGACGCGCTTGGAGCTATCACGGTGCGCTAAAAGCCGTGGCTTGGAAGGTTGCCAACTGACGGGGTAACTTGGACCTCCTTCATTACTGGAGGCGGTCTGAGAGTCAGGCTGCAATGGCTCCTTTTTAATGTGGCCTTTATGGCATTCCCACCACAGTGTGGGATCCGAGCCAGGCGTTGGCGGCACGCCCAGGTGCGGCTTCGGCCGTGCCAGCCTCCAAATCTATGTTGTGTTGGTTCAAATCCTGGTTATTGTTGTGTGGACCAGGGGGTGTGGTGGAACGCCAAGGTGAGGATCCGTCCGAGCCATCCACCTGCGGCCTCCCTCGTCTCCGGTCTTCTTGACTCTGTCTTGACACCGGGCCCAGGCGGGGGAGGAGGAGAGAGTGTAGGTAGATGCTACGCAAGTCTACTGGCACTATAAACCCCTGCGTAAGTCACCGTCCCTGCTCCCACCGCTGCTGCAGCTGTGGGGCACACGGTGGACATCGTCGAAATCGACGGTCGAACTGTCAAGTCTACAGCCCATAAGCTGCCCTTCACCGACGACTGTGTACTCGACTCCGCGACTGAAGGGAGCGTCCAAAGGAGCATGGGTCCGTTCACCACCGGAAAATTCAGGCTGAACATCGAACGGCTCAAATGGTAACCCAACGTAACCCAACGCTTATTGTAGTGTTCCTCGCATCCACACAAACGACACCCAACTAAAGACCGTGGACAACGTCGTCTATTTGGGCAGTATGTTGTCATGCAGGATCAAAATCGACGAAGAAGTGGCCCACCGGGTCTCCAAAGCCAACCAAGCCCTCAGCTGGTTGTAGAAGTCCGTATGGGATCGCTACGCTTTCCACCTGACCACCAAATTGAAGATGTACAAAGGAGTTATCTTGTCGACTTTGCTACATGGTGCGGAGACCTGGGCAGTATATAAGAAACAGGCACAAAAACTCTACGACTTCAACCTCAGTTGTCTCCGGCGGATGTTAAAGCTGAGTCGGCCGGATAGGACCTCAGAGAAAGAAGTTCTGAAGCCAACTGAAACCCTCAACAGCCACTCTGTACTGACAAAGCTGCCAGCTACGATGGACCGGCCATCTCGTAAGGATGAAAGAGTGCCTACCAAAACAACTCCTTTACGAAGGTTTTGTCACGGATTCTCACCGAAAAGGAAGTAAAACCCACCGCTACAAAGACACCTTGAAGAATTTCTCGAAAGGGCTACAGAATAGAATTAGAATAGGTTTATTATAGCACCTCTTGGGAGCCGTTAGTATCCTTTAAATAAAAATATTTGGGAAAGTCTCGCGCTGGACCGATCTGCCTGAAAAAGAACAATGAGGAGTGGAGCAGTCATCTTTGAAGCCAACCGGACCGCCGACGCCAAAGGCAAGGACGATGGTCGCAAGATACAGGTGCTCCTGACTGACAATGTATGCAAGTTGGAGTGAAAGTGAGGACCGGATGAGTTAACCGACCCAGTATGGACATTTGCATGAGGATTATATTTAGAAAACGGTCATGGAGGGAACATGTTGGGGGGTGGGGAACCCACTGCGTCGATTGGGGCGGTTATTCTTTTCACAGATTGGAACAGTATATTTGGCTTAATCGTTTCGATATGAGATCTGGGGATAGTTGGAAACAGGCCATATTTGAGGCCGTGGAGTTTGAGGGTGTGGCAAGCGAGTGTGGAGGGAAAGATTCCGTAGAGAAACTGGATTTACCCAATGTACGATCGGCTGAAATTTCACTCGGACTCCTCTTTGATTTAGGCACTTGCTTTGGTTTACTAGGGGGTTTCTGGCGGAGTCGATAGGAGGGTTTGTATACCAGGAGTGTTCTTACGTTTGAAGATCTCAACATCAAGACTAGCCGAGTTCCCTTACGGAATCAACCATATCATAATGTGGTGAGGCCGCAGATGATGCTGAATAAAGCTTATTCAACATGACAACAGGGGCCGTATTGTGCGTCTTGCTTTTCAACACTTTCAAATTTTTCAGGTTTCAATGAATTGGTACGAGATCCGGGGAACTGTGCAACGCCATTTACGGCAGAATTCTCTAGTTATCTCCTTGCTCGACAAGATGAAGTCAACTTCTGTCAAAAAAGACAATAACTAGTATCGGCGCATTACGGCTGAGCCAAAGCGGATGGTCACAAGTCCCAGGCGACCTTGACTGGCAACGCCAACCTACAAACTCCCCCCCCCCCTGCAACTAAACTCGCGCTGTCAAAGAACACTCTGCACAGACTGGCCTCTTCGGACATCTCAGGACTCAATGCAACGTCCAACAACCCTTACCGCTGTCTCCCGAACACCCCTACTTCAATATCACCCCGACCACGACGACGTACACCCTCACCACCGTCGCTCGGAATCCCTGTGCTCCGCCACCGTCGATCATAAGCATATCAATCATCGCTGTCACAACCTCTGCGACGGCGGCAACGACAATCACTATCACCACAGCTACCAGTCCCGCCACCGATCTGAACGTTCTCGACGGTCCGCCAACCACCGCCTTCACCCTCACCACTACCACCCATCCTCACTGCGATTGCACATTCACTTGTGAATCCATCACATTGTGACCAGCACACCAGTGTCAGGCGTCTCCACATACATTTGCAGCATCCGTCTTCACTGTCCGAACTGTCCACGTACATTCATGCACGGCATGGATTTATTCGGTCACACTCGTATTCGCAACAGCTGAATTCGTCGCAGTATTGACACACAATACATCTTCCGCATCCACGAACTCCCCATCCCCAGCACAACCAACTTCCTAGCGGCCAGCACACTCACTACTAGCAGCATCACAGCTGCTGACATGGTCTCCGTACGTTCATCTAACGCGTCGGTCTGGTCGGCCACTTGCGACTCCACCACAGAGATGCTGGCGAAGCAGTGTTCGGAGCACCGCATACATCAGACACCATTGCCACATTTGCCAGCACAGCCATACTACACTCAGCTATCATATGGGTCTATCAGGCCACATGCAAATTCGTGAAGCCTGTGGCAAATCCCTGAGGGTATGCCTACATCACCATGCATTTCCCCATCAATATATGCAGCACGCATGAACACCCCCGCAGCCCCACATCATCTGAACCTTTCACGTAAGTGGGAAGTGCGTTGTTCGGCTCCTTTCTACACGTGCCTCCTCAGCCGCGTGTGAGACCCGATCGGTATACCCCCTGTGTGTTAAATCCTAGCGCGTGCGCATGAGGGCTAGGTTGCGTGTGTGGCATGCGCGGACCAACTGCTCTCAGCTCCTTCAACCAACTCTCTCAATCACGGGTATCAGTTGGTTAACCGGCTTGCTCAACCAACTTATGTACGAGATATGTTAGAATAAGTGAGGTCGATGGTCTCAATGCATAATTCCTCACCATAAACAATTTACCGCGCTTGAGTTTATCCCGATGCGCTTAAAGCCGTGGCTGAGAAGGTTACCAACGGACGGGATAAATAGTGTGTGTGTGTTTGTGTGGAGTTGCCGGGTGATGTACTGAAAGTAAAACTGTAATGGCTTCTTCCTTGTGTGTTGCTGATGGTATTCCTACTCAGTAGGATCCGAGTCGTCGCTCCTCTCATCTTGTTGTGCAAGATCTTGACCAGTGTAACTTCAAGATTAGGGGGTGTGGTGGTACGCCTAGGTGCGGGTTTTCACCGTACCAGCCACCTGCGCCCTCTCCCATATCCGGTTTTTTGGACCTTATCTTGACACCCGATCAAAGCGGGAGAGGGATGAGTGCGGTAGATACTGTGAAAGTCTACGATCTATGCAGAACACATCACACACAAGTCACTGTCCCAACTCTCAACCTGTTGTAGAGCACACGGTAGACATCGTAGAAACTGATGATCGAACTTACTTGTGCGTGTTTTGTCCCTCGAACGGGTCACAGGGTTGATTCGTAAAAAAAAAACACTTTCGCTAGACCGAAGTCCGACGGTCGTCGTCAGGTATACACACCCATAAAAATGCCAACATTGGAGGTGTGGTGGTACGTCCAGTTGCAGGCTGAACCCCCGCCAGCTGGGATTGCAGGCGTCAAAGTTTTTTGCTGTGTGGTGAGGTACCTGACTACTTTTCCTTTGACAATTTGGTCCCTTTTTCTTTGACCGCATTGCTTGTTTGAATGTGACGTAAAACGACACACCTGCACAACCCGCCTTGCTAGCGTGCTCTGCAGTGGTATTCTGTTGTCAGTTTTCTTAGCGTTCAAAAACCTCTATATTAATCACTGCCCCGATTTACTTGCTGCATTTAAGGCTAGGGGCTCGTGAGATATAACTCGTTAGTTCGTGGGAACATTATAATTTACAACATTGGTGCATAAAACCCTGGCCATTGTGCGTTGTGGACCAGGGGGTTTGGTGGTACGCCTAGGTGTGCGTTTTCACTGTGCCAGTCACCTGCGTCTCCCCCTTTCTCCGGTCTTTTTGACTCTGTTTCGACCTC